ATCACAATGCAACGCGGCAACGGTAACATACCCTGTCCGTAGCAGTTATTTACATGCTGCGCGCGTCTCACTAATATATCGTGCTTACTAATACGTCACAAAACATGATAAGAAGTCTCTTTTTGTAGTGAAATCTCATAAAATTATCAGTAATTTACTACGGGAAGTAAATTGACTTTAATTTGTAATTTAAAAATCCATATATGCGAGAAATGACTAAGAGTATCGCGTGTCTACTTAGTACATCAATCAATAAACTGAAGACTGAAATAGCAGCACAATGGCTGGATCGTTCTCCGAACGCTACTGTTTAAGTAACGGTATCGTGGTAGCACATTGTGTGATGTTGCGTTGTTTACACTTAACACACGATACTTAACAGTAACGTACATTGTTAAAATTAGCCGCGATTCAATGAATGTTATTTCTTCCACCTAGCAAGGTATTTCACATATTTAGTGAAAACATGTTAAACACTAGACGCTTTGTGTATGGCTAAGATACTGAGCCTCTGCTTTATCGTAACACGGTTTTGACAACATGAATAAATAAGTTACACAATAGTATTTTAATTTTTATGCACCTAGCTTACAAGCTTGCGTACCTACGTAATCTAGTAGTAGAGAGTCTGTATGTAAAACGAGTAAGTTTAACTCGTGTACATTATGTTTGACTTTTGCTAGCATTGGTTCAGGTAAATATTCAGAGGAGCTTTTTACAGCTACATGGCTTTTGATACGTTTTGGATATGAGTTTTCGTAAATCCTTAAATGTCGTTTTTTTACCTATGGTAACATACTCAACAAAGCCTTGCGACACATAAAATGAAATCGTTTGACGGATTCCCCTTAAAACTCGTAAAATGTTTAATGTTCGATAATTTGTTGAGGCCGTTATTCGTTTTGAGATATGATGGCCCAATATCAGTGTATCGTCGGGTGAAAATGTCATTATTAAGTGAGGGAACGCCTAGACGCAGGGGTCGGCAACCGCGAGGGCTTCGACCTGAATCAGATCGTAACAGCGCCTGCGCGACCCCGCCCGGCAAGCCGGCGAGCCTGGCCGGCCATCGACCAACCCCGAGCCCCGCGTCTTCCCCGGCCCGGGGTGCGCCCGCCGCCCGGGACGCTCGCGCTGTCACCAGCGCCCTTGCTACTCACTATACCGTTCGTTGTATGAACATGGTTTTACAATACAAACATACTTATCTGCTTTTATCATGCTCGATAATTTAAAACATTTAAACGCAATTGTAAAATTATTAGGTACGCAATTAGACACATGTTGACTAACTACAACATTGAAATATGCACATGCAAATCGCAAGTTTAACTTTAAAAGTTTTAACTTATGTACTTGAAAGATTATTAATGAATGTTGTTCCTCCCGGCCTAAAACAATGAAAGAGCTCCAGCTATTTGGATTACTAAGAATTACGATATTATAACTCCACTAATGTAGTTTTGTAAATAAATTATACATCATTCAATCAAGTCATTTCAAAGCATTGTTTTGATTTAATAAAATATTTGTGTCGTAAAGCTGTCGGTTATATTTCCGAACACGCTGCTCGGTATAAGCATTGGGGTTGTTGGGTTGGTGCAACATTGAATGAACATTCCTTTTATTTTAGTACAGCCCATTTATTTGGCCTTGAAATATCACTCCATTAATCCCTTTGTTATACCCTTATCTGTATACAATTAGGCTTAAATGTAACTTTAGGTACCTACATTAAGTTTCACAGGACTAAAATCTTCTTTCGCAATCACTTCTGTACGTAGTATTATTCTTTAGAAGAATGTTTCTTTTGGACCCCTCGTCATAAAAGCGTGTTGAAACTTTTTTTGTTAACGACCACGTGCTTCAAGTTGTAATGTAAGACGGCAGGAATCGGCGCTTTGGTTTTGATTTTGTAAATGCCTGAGCTTTGGTTATAATAACTAATTATGTTGTACACATATGAAATGCCTATGTATGGGTACTTATCGCCCAAATGAGTTCACTACAGTGTGTCCCTACTCTACACAGTCCACAAGATATGATTCTGTGTGATCCTTGACAGATAATATTCTCAACGAATGTGTTTTGTCGTCTGGACTCAATAAAATCAATAATTTATTTATACTTTACCAAGTGCTTATAACATGTTAAAGATAGGGGTAATTATAACGAGTATCAATTTTCTTTATCATTAACGAGGACTAGCGTCTGTACTTACTCTTACAAATAAAGCATTCCGTCGATTTGTGTAAACCGATGTAGAGAGAAATCAATTAAACATCAAAATTGTCATAAGTAGGTACATATGAGATTTATTTGACTGATAATAATAACTAGCTGGGGCTCAAGCAGATGAGAGGCGCGGCGGGCGTGGGGCAGCGGGGTAGGTTTACCGGCCGCTGAACCTCGCTAGTCGAAATCAATACAGCTGCGCTCTCCCCGCACGGCGCGGCGAGCTTGCGCTCGGCAAAGTCTGGAGCCCGTCGTCATGGATACCGTACCAGATAAACCAAACGGCTGAGGCCCCGCCGCTCTCTCCCCGGCCGCCGCGTCCTGCCCCCGCACTCCTCGCAGCCCGGCACCACGCGCCCCTCGTGGTCGGCCCGCCGCCAAATCCCGCATACTTATCCTCCTTGTTGACAATTATTCAAACTTTTTCTATTCTATGTTACTATGCAGACAACGGACAACCTGTTGATGTATCACGTTGAAACTAATTCAAAAGTATTAGTATCATGAACTTTCTTGTGATAGAAGGTGTGATCCATATAATTTTAATAACATTTAGTTACCGGCAAGTCGTTTTTTGTGGGACCCTTCTATTAAGCCCGCTTGTCAATAGGCTGTATCTCGGGAACCGTGATAGCTTGGGAGTTAACTTTTTTATAGATCATGATCATTTGCACCCTATACGACTAACATCAGACATTAAAAAGTATAAAAATAAATATATGTTATTCTAGTTTTGATATTATTTATTCTTATAAATTGTGATTATTTTGTGTCAATTATTTTTTACGGCTCGCAAGTAGACGCTCCACTAACACCACACATATGTACGTGTTAAAACGCTGGCTGACTTTCAAAAGGGGTCACATGTTATGTAACAATTAAGAGCACTATAATTGTATTCGAAGAATACGGGCGATCGAAGTTGAAGAATTAAGGGACTCCCTGTCTTCAAACAAAATGAGAAAAAATGAAAAAGAACATTTCGTTCGCTAGTTTGACTTGCACTTGCCCGGTTTTTTTAAATAGCTATCTGTAGCAAGAAATATCACAATCCCGTTGATCGTAAGCGTTAACCTACCCTCGTAAGTACACACTTGTGACACCACAGGATTTACCAGTGTGTGGCCGACTATCCTACTAGTATTATGGATAGAGTTTAGTTATTGTTTTGCGTATAAACGACTGAACGGATTTGAATGAAATCTAAAATGATTGGGCAGACACAGATTATAGATTACACAAAGGATTATTTATTTATTTATATCTTTGTTCTGCGAGCTAAGCTTATTTAATTTTAAACGTTGATTATTTAATAACAAGGCCGTGTCTACTTAACACGGTAAAATTATTAATTTCCGTGAACTGAAATCGTTTACATTTATTTTCTGAGAATTCTTAAATAATAATAGTTGGGATTATATCAAATACAAGACATGTACACACATACTTCCAGAATATCCAACGGCGTCTTAAAACCTTTTTCGGGTTGCAGATTTTGAATACGCCCGAGAATTATTTCTGTTACACGCAAGTTTGCGACAGTACATAAAAAGATTGTCTAACTTTTTAACTGCTTTCACTAAATTGACGAATGTAAAGATAAAAATTCAAAATTGACATTGTAGTTTATGTGAATGTTTTGCTGTGGGAGTGTCCTTTGAACAAAACGCTTTCATAATTAACTATAATAATAATTCAGCCGGGGTTGCGGGGTAAGCGCAATGAGGCACCGCGACCTCGGCCCAGAGCAGGAGAAGAAACAGGGGGGTTTTTAGTCAGTAAGAGTCTGACACTCCCTCCCGCCCGGCCCTGGGCGGGAGAAGTCATTTGATGATTTTCCCCTCACAAAAAAAACTATAATAATAATTGTAGTTACGACGTCAAACACAGATTTGTGTATGTATCTCCTTTCTCAGAAAGATTATAGAGTAAGTACTTAAACTTGAGTATAAGTCGACTTAAAGAATGCGCTTCTACTTTCAAGAGTTGTTGTGAAACAACGCACAGAGCTTTCCTTGTTATCGATAATTGCGATGTAGGTACTATGCGTAGCGTGTTTATTATTATTAACACTCATTATTAATCTGGATCCCCGAAAACTTCCTATGCAAGGCATAAAACAAGGTTTTACGAAAGTTTAGAGTACTGTTATAATGTTTTCAATTCGACACAAGATTGGAATTAACGCCTATCTCTTGCACGCTCTGAAATACTGGCCAGCCTCAAGGATTGGGTAGCGATGGAAGCGTAAGGAGAGTATTACCGTATGCACGATCAAGGTTGAAAATAAAAAATATTAGCAAAAGCTTCACGTATTTGTTATTTATTATAATGTTATGTAAAGTAACAAAAAATTTTTTTGATAAAATTATATCTTTGCAGGCGTCTACGTTTTAATGTTTAAAGCATTTCTAGATTATTGTCCATTAAATTTGGTGCAACTCATTTGCTCGCTTAATCTTTTATTCTTAATCTGTAAAGCGTAGCTGTAACTTTTAAACAGCGTTTCATCCGTTACGACCTTAAGTCTAAAGCATTATTCACATTATCGGGTAATCTAACCGTTCAGACTCAAGTTGGAAGCGAATATTCATCATATTGTATACATTTTCCTGTACTGCAATAAAGCATACGTGCAATTTATGAAAAGTGCTACTATTTACTGATTTTGAATAGTCATAAGATTACTTAGAAGCGATTGTTTATCAAATGATTGATGTACTATCTTGTCAGATCATTAACATATTTTTATATTACGATTACAGAACGTCGATCACAAGGCAAAATTCCGATCTAAGAAGGGTCAGTTGCCATTTGTGGAGTTGAACGGCGAAGAGATTGCTGACAGCGCTTTCATCATCAAAGAGCTTTCTGAAAAGTTCAACAAAGATCTTGATGCGTGTAAGTATTTTATTTAATGTATAAAGGACAACACACACAAGTGAATTGTTTTGTACTCGAAAACCTATAATATATGTTTATCAATTTGATTGAGTCTCGATATAGGTATCGCGGATATTTCCTTTGTTCGAAAAGGTTGTTATTGTAATTTAGGTCGCCGGGGATGATCGGCGGGGGTTGGTTACCGATAGTATTGATGTACTGAGCCCCTATATTTAACAAAGGGCTTACAGGAATTCCGCGCGGCCGGGGCAAGTCCTAGTTTCCTAGATAATTCTGGGACGTCGCGCATGTGCATAAAATGTAGTGAGACCTGCCGTGCCTGAATTGACCCATTTGTTATATACAGCTCTGACGCCGGAGCAGCGGGTCGTGAGTCACGCTATGATCTCTATGATTGAGAACCATCTGTCTTGGGTGGTTCTGTGGTGGCGCGCCAAGTACCCGGACAGTGTCATCAAGGGATACCAAGTGAACCTTCAGAACGCGCTCAACACCCGCTTGCCAAACCCGATCCTGAACTTCTGCTACAAGTTGGCGGCTGCCCGTAAGGTAAGTCCTCAGTGCAACAACTTCATTACGTCACCATCGCGGCATCGCTCCAAATTTTGCTAACGTTAAGGTCGTATCTGTTGATAGTGACATTATGTTAGCAGAGTGGATTTACATTAAACTACATAGCTGTCGTGTATTTTCACATCGTTGGAGAGTTAATATTTAAAATTGATTCAGTGATTATGGCGGGAATATTTCAAAAATTAGGAATTATACTTTAATGACATATTTAACAAATAAGACATTGGTTGCGTCGTTGGTCCTTTGGTCCCAGGTGGTTCGATTCTCCGGTCATGAATAGGCGTCGGTACCTTCTGCTGCGTTCCCAACAGACTTGATAACTTACAATTTGAGAGTAAAAGAAGTATGAAGTACCTACTTTGTATTTATGCTATATAAATTCTTACAGGGCATGAAAAAAGCTAAGGCTCATGGCATCGGCGTGCACTCACAAGAAGAAATTCTTGAGTTCGGCAAGAATGATCTACGAGTGCTTTCTGATTTGTTGTCGGATAGACCTTTCTTTTTCGGAGATGAACCAACTATTGTAAGTATTACCTTTATTTTATAACAGTTAACATTGTAGTATATTGTATTATTGTTAAGACGGTATAAATTATTGGCGCCAATCTTAGGAAAGCAGAATTTACACACAAAAGACATGACCTTATACATTTTCTATAGAATTTTGTTTTCAATAGACATTACTATTACTCATTAAGTTAGGGGTGAGTCAAGGTTTTACAATTTATACCGAAATGTTTCGTTAGTTTAGTCCATTACGCTAATGGAATTCCAAAAACGATAAGATAATTTCAACTAGGCTATTATTTTTTAGTCTGTCAAAGCACCTCTTGTAAAATAGTGATATTTAAAGAATAGTTTTGCTTGTAAGAAATGTTTGTGCACTATATGATGATAAGTATTATAATAGAAACGAAGATTGTATGACAATGTCTTTACTTTCAGTTGGATGTGGTTGCTTTCGCCAACCTCGCACAAGTCCACTTCATCGACAAAGAAGTGGCCCACCCGCTGCGAGACGCCATGAATGAGTTGTTCCCGAACCTCGTGGGTCTGGTGTCGCGTATCAAGGAGCGCGCCTTCAACGACTGGGATGACATCTGCTCCACCCTCGACCTTAACGCGCACCTGCCCAAGCCCGCCAAGGAAGTCAAGGAGACCAAGGAAGGTACAGGGCCCGCTGAAAAGCAGCCGCTACCTGATGAACCTGAGAAGGGCAAGGTAAATTATTACTATACTTTTGAGTTGCCTATGTAGTATAGGCAAATGACACATTATTCTCATATTTGTCATTTGAAATTTACAGGGTGATGAGAAAGAAAAGGAACTAGAAAAGGAATCGGACGAGAAAGGCAAGGAGAAGGACAATGAGAAAGAGAAGTAAATGACGACGGCATGTACGGCGCTAAATTTCATTATACCGTATAATTAATTAATTAACAAGTTGAGATATACTCTTAAGAGTCAGACTCGTCGTAGATTCTGTAAATTATAAGTGTGTAAATCCATTTGTCTTTCCCGTTGCTTTCAGTTGAAGAGGACGCGAGCTATAATATTGTGGTCTCCGTTCTTTATAATATGTAGTTGACGTGATGTCGTGTCGTATTACATTAACCATTTCGTCTTAGGTAAACGTTTTGTTTCTATGTTTACGAATGTAGTTCGTGTAATGTTTCAATGCTATATGTGTTTATAATATTTGATAATTCTGTCATTAAATGTTTGGATGATTCAAATCAATATTAATAAGTATTGCAGTTATTAAGGTATTCAGGATTAGGCAAACATTTATTCAAATGATAAATAGAGTATGTAATTAATTCGAGATAGTCCACTTGCAGCGCATCATCGTATCGTATGTATGGAACTGGAGTCTGCAGTCAGTCGCCTGAACAGAACCACCTCAGGCGTGTTCTCGTCCCTAGGGAAGTGAATGAATCGTGCCAACTTACTCGACCATTTCTGATATCATATTCAGCTGCCGCATTGTTTCCATCTGTAAAGTCCGTAATATACTGACAGGGTGTAAGAACAGGGCTACGAATGATATTTTTAAATTGTCGTTATTGAATAAATGGGACCCGCCCATTACTCTCTTTGAAAGAAGCGTCGTATACCTATTTGAGATTATTATTTCACAAATCTCTCTTCTCATTCATACTTCAGCGCCGATGGCGTCCTACTTTAAAATAATTTACTCTACTTTGTAAGTGTAGAATATTTGATACCAAAAATTGGCTGATTTAGATAAATTGGAAAGAATGATGCATTTCTTAAAACATAGCTCTTCAGTTCTAAAGAATGAGCTATTGTGTATGATTAGACTGTTTTGAGATTCTTGTACTTTATTGGTTTATTATACAAATGAAATTTTACAATTTACAATTTTTGATAATCGAAAACCCTGGAAGACTGTTTTTCACGTTATTAATAATTCATAGTCCATAAAATTTTGATATTGAATTAAGTGTTAAGGTTTAGAAAAGAAATGTACTCAAAATTTATAGAATGTAAAATATTTAATTGCATTATAATTATTCGGTCAATGACTTGTAGTTGTTTTGCCCACTACTTTTAGTAACGATCAAGATACGGCAAAAATGTACGACGCGGCTTCAAAACAATGGTTACAATATATTAAAGATAATCGCAAGCGTCGGCCACGTAACGGCGACGGTACGACCATCTCACGGCCGCGTCATCACGACGGGTCGGCGATGCAGCGAGTCGCGTTGCATGTGCTTGTGGCTTCTTGTCGCACACGTCACTCGAGACGATAATTCTGTCTCGTATAACTGCACATTCACATACAATTTTTGTATAATTTTGACACGCCCTTAGTTATCTATTACTACTATTAGACGTTTTGTAAAATATTCAATGAAGACTGTCGCTCATCATTCATTCCTTGATTGTTCGGTGGAACTTATTGTTCGATTGAAACGAAACGAGTTGTTTATTTCCTGAAATGTTTGTGCTCAAAGGCGGATTTATGGCGTTAGGCACTGAAACAGGCTTAATGGTAAAAACTTAGTATTAAACTCTAAAGAACATTCCAGTTTCACACATCATTTCACGATTGAGTTAAAGTTGTGATTCCATCTGGTTGCTATGGCAGTAAGTGAGAATTCGAACGGATAATATTAAATTTGTAAAATAAGTAAATGGTTTTCGCATCGTGGCTTGATAGTAGTACATCGATTTATAATCGGTTCGTAGGTAGGCGCTGTAGACGATTATACGTGCTTCTTGTTTCAATTTAACATCTCAATTGATCGATTATTGTTAGGGCTAATGATAAGTTAGACACGATGAAATGACTACATGTTAATGTCGTAAATGGTAAACATAAGAATAATAGGTAGGTCATGTAACCCAGGTTACGCTAGAGTAATATGTCCGGGCGTATGTCGGTAAATTGAGCAGGCCGCCACGACGCCTGCTCCATATAAAATATGTACCTAGTAGAGTAGATATAAAAAACTGACAAAAGACAAAAAAAAAGATTTTGGTTCAATTTGTTGTATTATGAATGTTGTTGATTTGATTTTTTCCGGGGAAAGGTCGACGTTTTTTAGTCCCTCCCGACAACTGCTAACCATCACTGCCATTAGATAACAGATTAAGGAAATTAATGATAAGTAGAGTAAGGAATGATGTACTTTACTAGTCGTCGCGTACACATTCGACATAAAGCGTGGTACCAGCATACACGATGGTGTATAGCCACACTCCCGTAATATTATATTATGTAGATACATTTAACGTCGTTTATTATAAGGCTGAAGATTTGTCCGACCATCCCGTGTGAGAGCCTGTTTCAGTGTTGTGCGATATATCGACCGAGCTGGCAGCTTGCTGGCGTAGTACTCTGGAACAGTGGTGCGTTGTCCGCAGTCCCAACCGCGCGCGTTGTATAACTTCTGTAAGAACAGTCTGCATAGTGGTGACACTTGTCTAAGGGTAAATCCGAAACGACTATGTTACGATAGAATTAGGGCTAATATTTAAGCATCACAGTAATCTTAAATATCATATTCCCATTGTTTTGTGTACGTCGAGACAATAAAGAAGAGTGCAAGTATTGTTGACCATCTGATTATAGCCCGTGTTTTTCAGAATAGAAAATATTACCATGAATTGAAGAGTTTGTAAAGGATACTTTATTGTCTCTTTCTAGGATGTAATATTATAATCTTATTGATATTATTATATTCAATATTTCATGATTATTCACACTCATATAAAAATAATGTTGTAAGTTACTAGCTATTATACAAATTATTCATAATTACTCATATTTTAAGCATAAGTATTTCAAGTATGTATGTTTATACTATTAAGAATACTGTAGGAAACCTTAAGATTGTAATATCTATCTATAGTTATGTTTTTTCTGTAATGATAATTCATTCACTTAATATAACTAGTATCTGTGGTTTTCAATTATTGTGTCAATATTTAAACGTAAGTAGATAGTAATGGTTCGCCATCCATAACGACGAAAAATTGAGCTTCGACGCCGTAAACATATACTTTAAGAATTTCATGTGTAATATTCTTTCGCCATTAAATATATACCTACAATAATATTACATACTGCAGAGGGAATCGACATGAGGTGCCGCCATGTCACTTCATGCTGAGTTCCAGTGCAGGGGAATTTTATTATTTCGCAATCCCTTCTCATCAACCCCATATACGATGTATCGTTTTTCGATAGACAAGCAAGTAATTGAAGAAAATGTTACTTATTTCGAACCCACATAATTTTGTTGTCATGCATTTTGCCTGTAATTAATATGAGTTTGAAACTGGTTTAACTGTTTGATAGTTAATATTATGCAGTCGTAACGTTAAATCAGTTTTTGGCTTATAAGCTGTTTTTCCACTTTAGTTTTTTGTATAGCCTAAATGCAGGTTTACAAATTGAAACATTGTTGAATAAAAATAAGAGGTAAGGAGATCTAATTTCATTAGATATTTTCAAGTTGTCCGGCTCGACCGGCGTGATACCACGGCCTCATATAAAACGGCGACGGAAACGGCGTGAAGCAACATTTACGTTGTGTTTCGCCGTGTGAGTGAAGTTACCAGAGGCCCAGTTCTTGCCCCCTCTCTCCATTCTCAATTCTCAAATTCCCCTAATAACCCACAAGAGGCCGGCAACGAACTTGTAGTTACTCCTTAGGTACTGCGTTTGTCCATGGGCGGCGCTGATTGCATACCATCACATAATCGTCTGCTCATTTGCCGATCTATGACAACAATTTTATTATTAACATATTAGACATGCTCCGAGCAGAGTTGGTCTCTATAATATATATCTACTGATCATTACTTAAAAATAATTACCTGTATAGATATTCAAAAGAATGAGAAAACTCAGTACAAACCCTCGTTATTTGAAAAGCAGGACGGTAAAGAAGATTGTTCACCCGATGGTAGGCAATCTGCAACTACAACAGCATTTAGAGCATTGCCAGCCTTTTAGGAATTTACGAGATTCTAGATTGAGGAGGGGATTAGACGAGTACCCTCACTCAAATAGCAAAATAATGAGTTGTTTCACGGTGGTTTTCTGTGCAGCCGTAGTTTTCAGCCGGTCGAGTCGACCTATTTTTATTATGGTCGGCACCAACGTGGTGGTAAGCGGTGATGCGACCCACGATGGCGCACACCTTTTCACCCATTCGGGTCTTGAAGATACCCAGGTAATTATACCTTAGTGGTTCGGATTATATGCCATTCGCGCTAAAGTTTGGGTCTACCACATCTATTTAACTTGAATCTTAAGGACGGCGTATATTGGTACCTCACTTAATATGATAATTAAATGAATTCCGGAGGAGTGCGAGCAACGACCGATGTGACGCGCTATGCTAAAGAAAGCTTTAACGTTGATCGGAAAAATGAGGTGTATACCAAAAGCACTAGTCTTTGTGAATAGGTCAAGTGGCATATTTTTATAGCATGTTGAGCCAGCTTGAAAGTGTGATAATATTTTAATCTTCGGAAAAATACAAAAGTATTCTTATAAAGTTATTTGAATGTAAGTATGGAGACATACAAAATGATTAAGTAAGTTAGGAGTACCTATTAGTTTCAAAGCATTCATATTTCTCACGATACTAGAATTTGCAAAAAATATGTAGTATAGTGTAGTGTTTACTTATCTTCGCGTGACATCTATCGATAATTGTAAAAAATGAGGAAAGCTCGCAGTTGGCATGCTAGCCATCAGGCAAATCAGCTTTTTACACAAAGACATATAGCGCCCTCTAGTGATAACTGAGTGTACTACAGAGAGTATCTCAGAACCAAAATGAACCCACAGGCCGTTATGTACACAATTCATGTGCAATTGGAGACAAGGTTTGGTGAAAATCTAGAGGGCGTAACAAAATTTGGTAGATATAAACTAAAATCAGGAATTTACATGATCGATTGGAAATAAAATATGTTACACTTTGCTTAATGTTTTAAAATTTGTTTTTGGTTAAACTCTAGCGCCATTAATTAACCAAGCGATGATTTGCAAAACTAAAAATCGGAAACAACTAGCGACTCGTATACGACTGGTGCCAAAAAGAAGTACTAAAATTAATACAACTAGCGCTCATATTGGATACTGGTGTTAAAAAGCGGAACTAGATATGAGCTACTAGCGCTATTGTCATCCTTAGAGCGGCGAATAGCCGAAACAGTTTAGTGTTACCAGAAATATAAATTAGTAATATTGGTAGGAAAACCCATTGAGATACTTGCAAGTTTTTTTAGTGTCTGATAAATAATGTTTCGTTCAATTTTAATCTAGATGGCTCTGTATGTATCTTGCTCAGAACGCTGGAAGATGATGATAACATTGTTCAGTCGAGGCTACTGCTAGATCAAATTGATGGACGGCTACACTATAGTAATATTCTACGAAAGCACATAGGTCAAATCATAGGTGAAAAATAATATAACCAAATAAGAGCAAGTGAAAACACCTAATATAGCAGAAGCAATTCGAGCCAGTTCCTATAATAAAATCTCATTAACATTTCGATAGGTATAGTGATGATCCACTGATCACTTAAAATAGGTACAAATTTATCTGAAAACTTCAATCATATTATTTGTGTGATACAGAGTAAAACAATGCCAATTATGGAAATCATAGTTATTGACATCTATCCGAATTTTTAATTTTGTTCGCTAATCGTGTTGAAAAAATACTATTGAAAAAATACTGATGTAGACACAAACACGAAACATTAAAAAAATAGCTTGCAAGCGATTATTTTCTTTTTATAACAGTTTTAAACTTTTATAAACTAAAGTTTTAAACTTTTATAAAAAGTGGCAGTTAAATTTGAACATGACTGGAATAAAACGGCTGCTAAATAACCAAAAACAAGCAAAACAAAGTCGATAATATTGTTTTATTTATGCAATAAAATTTTGTATAACAAACTATGAAATTCAACACACTACCGCATATTACTAACCCGAACAGTTTTTTTTATATTAAGTGTACAAATTCTCGTTTTCTTTCAAGTCACGTGTTCCACAATTTTGAATGTTTAGATATCTAGATATCACTCATTGTTCAACCGTACAGATATTTATGACGATTTGAATGATTCTATCTATGTGATAACTTTGCTTGTGCATGTATTTTGCTTGCTTCTGATGTTGCTATATATTTGTCGCTGTTTGTACCTAAAACGGTTAAGGCGCCCGTTTCTTACGCAGGAGATTGCGGGTTCGAAACCTAGCAAGTACCAATGTGACTTTTTCCGAGTTATAGGTACTTATGTGATTATTTAGGCACGACTGTTATACGGTGAAGGAAAACATCGTAATTTTTTTTTTTGTGAGGGAAAATCATCAAATGTTTTCCCCCGCCCAGGGCCAGGAGGGAGTGTCAGGCTATTACTGACTAAAAACACCTCCATTCCTTCTCCTGCTCTGGGCCGAGGTCGCGGTGCCGCATTGCGCTTACCCCGCAACTCCGGCTGAACATCAGCCCTATAGGGCCCCACCTGTTGTGGTCTTTTGGCTATTTGAGACAAGCGCGGAACGCAAAGCGCCGTGCGCTCTGGTCTAGTTCTGGTCGGGCGGTGAGCTACCCTTACTCACCCTCCGCAAACCCGCGCTTACGGTGCCCGGAGATCGTCTCTCGATCCCCGACGCCCGTAGTGTTGCCTACTGCGGCGACTGGGGCGCTCCGCCTCCTTTTTTTGGGAGAATAACTGCTTGGCAATAGGAGAAGACGGCTTCCCCGTTTCTCTCGCTTCGAACCACGACCTTGACTAAGGCCGGGCGTGAGAGGTCGCCGCCGCCGAGGCACATACACACACACACACCGCCTACGTTCTCTCCACCGTGTCCTCAGGGTGACACACTGGCGTTTCCTCCCGCCGGATCCGAAACAGGAACCTACCGAAGCTGCCGTGCCCGGTAAGCACTTGCGTCATTCGGAAGGTGAAGACGCCGTGGCGTCTCTCAAGCGACTCGTCAAAGACCGGTCTTACTGCTTGTAGTTAAATAAATAAAAATGTCAAGTACCCAATTCTGGTTGTTAGGTCCACACACAAATTAGTGCGTGGCGGAATGAGCTCTGGCGAGATCTTATAGCTGAGTGGAAGCAACGGCTATCGAACCAAGGGCCGGGCATAGCAGCGGTAAGACCCCTCTTTGAGAAGCGGCTTGAGAGATGCCACGGCGTCCTCATTTTCCGCTTGACGCAGGTGCTTACTGGGCTCGGCGCGCGCCTCAAAGAGCCAATAGACCACCACAGACGGGGCCCTAAAGGGCTGATGTTCAGCCGGGGTTGCGGGGTAAGCGCAATGAGGTACCGCGACCTCGGCACAGAGCAGGAGAAGGAACAGGGGGGTTTTTAGTCAGTAAGAGTCTGACACTCCCTCCTGCCCGGCCCTGGGCGGGAGAAGTCATTTGATGATTTTCCCCTCACAAAAAAAAAAAAAAAAAAAAAAAAATCGTTAATATCGGGTAAGTATTAATAAGTGCCATTGCAGCTTGAAATCGAAAAAAGTTGTATGTTATCAATTAAACTGGTACATTGTTGTTATAAATGCTAGTTACATGCGACTTTCCTAGTTTTGTATAGTAGAGTATTCTATTTATATTTTTATTATTACTAGTATAAGGTAAGTGTGTCGTTAACAGTTTAACAGTCACCGGACCGAATGGGGTTAATCCAACTGCTCAGAGGCTCTTTAGACAACTTTAAACTTTTCTTAATAAGTGTTGGAGAGCCATGCTTCGGCACGACTGGGTCGGCTTGACCGGAGTGATACCACGACCTCACAGAAAACTGGCATGAAACAACAACAGCTTTTTTGCCGAGTGAGTGAGGTTACTGAAGGACCAATCCTTTTCCTCCCACAAACCCAAAATCCCTAATCCCGTAAAGGCAGGCAACGCAATCGTAACACCTTCGTTGTTGCGGCACCGATGCATGCCATCATTAATTAAGATCGGTTTGTCGTATTAACACAAAGAAAAAAAAATTAAATTAAAACAGGCAACTTCGTAGTAAAGAATGAACCTACTACAGAAAAACACCTAGCAAC